ATTAAATCTCGTGAAATCATCATGCATTCATTATGTAATCACTATGAAATCATATAAAAATCTCATTAAATCATTACATAATCAACAAGAAATCCATAAAATCATCATGAAATTCCATGAGATCACCATCAAATCCCTTGAAATCTTATGTAATCACCACGAAATCACTGAATCAGTGGGACAGCTTTACCATCAGTGGTCACCCCCTCGGGTTGAACCATAAATATCAATGGATAAGCGGTTGATTTGGATCAACATAATTTTCTTCGATATCGATATCCATGACGGTGATGCACACTGTATAAAAAAGTTTCCACGCTCTGTGTCTAGAAGAAATCGAGAGCACATCGTATTATCGCCATTTCGGCTCTCGATTTTTTTTGCTCGCCCCCGTAGTCCGAATCCAAAATGATCGAGAGGAGTTATTGATGGATGACAGGTGAGCATCAAGATAGACATCGGTAGGGTGACGGCTTCGAATCTTTGTCTTCTAGAAATTCCTCGCGCAGTTTTTTCGTGACTGGGCAACGCAAAAACTTGCAGATTTCTGCTTTCCGAGAACCTCGTCAGAAACCGACTCGATTGCATTCAGACGGTCGGTCAGAGGCACTTTCTAATTGTATTCTTCACAGCTTCTATTATGCACGAAAAAGGGTCATCTGAATCCCGAATCCGATCGAAGGAATGCCGAGACAACGAAACCTGACAGCACATTATTTATGTCATTGCCATTCCATAAAAAAAACGAGTTACACGAAAAAAAAGGAATTGTTGAATCAAGCTAAATTTAATTGAATGAAGCAAAATATAAGTGTCATATATTATGCCCGACGAAATATAATCTTGAAATGAGTAGAAGTATGATCTTGTTTCAGAGCGAATTTCAAGTTTGAATCATGTGAATATGTCTTGCATGAACTCTGGATCTTATTCAATCAATCACATCCATGAATTGTTCATGAAGAAATATTGTTTTTTTATGTATGATAAATTGATAATCATCATACAGGACGTGGAAAGAAATTCTGAATTGAGAAAACCTAATCACTAATCTGCGATTGAGGTCTACAGAAATAACAAGTTTCCATCGTTCAAGTTTGAACCCCTTGATTGGGTGAAGGTATTGAAAAGGAATATTCTCAGATATAATTATTAACACAAAAAAATGGATATATATATATACATATAAAAGTATGGAAAAATATAGTGAGAATTCGCATTCTCCATGTGATGAAGATATTAATTCTTTCTCGGTTTATTCAACATAAAACAACTACTTTCCTGGCTATACTTATGCCACGACGAACATTGAATTAAGTATATCTATATTGAACACATACGTTAACATTTGAAAACAAAATCATCTGAAGTAGAGAATTTGCATTCTCCTTCATATAAAGATAGGTATGCACATAACAGTGGCGTAATTAAGATTCATCCCTGGGGAGGGGTCTAGGTCCAATATTCAATATTTAGAAAAAAGGAGAGCAATACGTAACTTACGTTGGTTTCAATTAATGTGTGCATCATTTGGAACCAATAACAGAATAAAGAAAAGAGTACCTATTGAAAAATAATCAAATAATATCACATATAAATACAGGTACAAACATTGAAATAGGAACAAAAAAAACAAAGTAACGACAAAAAAATTGACTAATTCAGTTACTGAAGAATAGAAAAATTCAAACTGTTGCATTTTTTCTGTTGGAATCAAGAAACTACTTTTGGGTGGGTGGAGGAAATGAGAAAAAACTACCTATTGAATATACAAGGTGATTCAAAATTCGATGTGAATATCTTATATACGTATTGTTGGGATCAAGATAAAACTTTTGTGTGAAAAAAAAAAGATTATCTGAAATTGTGATCATGTCAACGAATCAAGTGCAAATATTGCAGTACCGCACGCCTCTGAAATAGCATAGTCTCAAATGCGTTCCGACATGCGATCACCTCCGTTTATAAGTCTTCAACCCATTGAGTTCGAAACCGATGCCGTGACCCCTTTCCTTGATTACGATTTTCTGGAAAACGGTTTAGTTGAATGAAAAATTGCAAGATACCTAACGGATTTTCAAATTTTTTTATGACCCACAAGATCATGGGATTCAAAGCCAGAAAGTTTCTCTCTTGAAACATAAAATTTGGCCCATTAAAAGGGTGGACCCCCCTCAAAGCTATTTGGATCCCAACAATAGGTATGTCCTTAAAGTATTTACATCGAATTTTAAATCTTCCTTTATATGGATTTTTCACAAAAAAAATTTAACCAATGTTGCAGTCGTGAGGAATGACCACAAAAGAATTATGTTTTTCTCTCATTTTCTCCATCTCTCCAAAACTACAATCATAAGTTTTCAATGACAATACCTAACTAACCTCCGATTTTCGTTGGGAAGGTTCTAACAAATTACAAATGGAATTCTCGTGATATTTCCTATGCTGACGTCTATTTTTCCATTATCAGAAATGTTTACCAGATTGTTTCGGTATTTCAGACAGCTCTAGGGGGGGGGGGTCCAGACCCCATGGACCCCCCTTAATTACGCCACTGGCACATAATATCATTCTGAATATTCAACAGATATAATTCAATGTTCCACGTGGCAAATAGCCATGAAAGTAGTTGTTTTCTGTTGAATATTCAGAATTATGTTATATGCATATCTTTATATGAAGAAGAATGCAAATTCTCTACATCAGAAGATTTTGTTTTCAAATTTTATCGTGTGTGTTCAATAGATATAATTCAATGTTCGTCGTGGCATATAGCCAGACAAGTTGTTGTTTTCTGTTGAATAAACCGAGAAAGGATTAATATTTTCATCACCTGGAGAATGCGAATTCTCAATGTATTTCTTTATATATATGTCTATTTTGTTGTGTTCATAAATATATCTGAGAATATTACTCTTCAATAGAAAACAACAAATTTTTCGGCTATTTGCCACGTCGAACATTGAATTATATCAGATGAACATCCAAAATTAGAGAAAGAAAAATCAAAATCATCTGAAATTGAGAATTGACATTATCTCTCAAATCTGATATAAAAATATAACTTACCAATATGTTCAAGATCCGAGTTCAGACAAGTATACTTCTCCTATACATTCCAATTTTCATTTCAATAATAAAAAATATACCAAATTTGAATGAAAAAAATCCAACAATCTTTAGTTACTTATATTTTTTATGACAACATTCTATCCCTCCAAAATCATTATCGAATAATGATAATAAATGATTTTATTGAGTCAGTATGAATGTACAACAGGTATTATTATACATATATGTTTCTCAAACGGCAGAGTTCAATTTCACGATTAGATCACGAATTGCTCTTCCACTCAACCATGATTGTATTTGTCAAATTATACGCTGTATATGTATAGTCCGATTCTGACTCATTTTTTTATTTTTCAAAAATAATGCTTTGGAAATATCGACTTGTTATTTTTTTTAGTCAACCTTGATTTCATGCGGCGTTGCAGAGTAATCGAGACCAGCCATTTTGAAAAATTAGCAATTCTAAAGTTCCATTTGTTTATGTCGCAAAGCCGAGACAAAGGAATATCGGTGACATATTTAAATATTCAAATAGCAGGCAGACGATTTCAACCAGTTTGACATTTTTATGTCGCAGCAGTTCGTCATTTCAGCGGACCTTCTGAATACAAGGTGGCCTTTACAATCAGCGAACTGACGGAATTATCGGAGAAACAATTTTCTGTGACATTAAAGGACGTCAGCGAATTCAGGAGTCATTAAAAATGAGGGAGATGATCATTAGTATAACAGAATTTACCTAGATCTTGGCATTCACCTCATCATTCCCACTTTTTCGTGCTTATTTCAGTCTCAGCTCGAATATTATAATTCTTATCAATTGAGAAGGAATCAAAAAATAGCATATTGTTCAACGAGCACGGTATGATAGTCATTTCCTACGAGAATGAAGTTTGCAGCATGAGCCAAACGCGAATGCTGCAATCATTTGAGTAGGAAATTATAGCAGTCCGTGCAAGTTATACACTATAATTTTTCAACGGCTATAATGAATAACATCTGCATTTTCAATTTCTTCGTCTTGTAGCCATCTGATTTTCTCCTAATTACTTGAGTCCCTGAATATCAGATTCGTAATTAACGTGATCTCCGAAATATGACAACATAGCATTTTCGTTAAAAAGTTCTGGAACGGTCCCATATTTCAGAAGCGGCTCAGAGAAAATTTATGAAAACTTCGACAGGATGGTTGTTGATGATGCCCGATTCAAAGATGATATCGGCAATGTTGCCAAATCAACAGTTTTTCAGATATATAGGATAACTCAATTTTTTCAAAATTGTTTTCATTGCAATACATTCAGCGACGCCTCATGTTCAGCATGTTTTCATTCGAATGAAAATAATATACATACAAAGAAATTAAGAAATCACCTACCTTTTCATACTTACCATATTTTGCAGTTCGTACATGAGTTTTCTGCCATTATGTATGTCAATCTTCGAAAATAGCCTTTGCAGAATGAGCCATAACTAATAATCAATTCATTACTGAATTAAGTTGCTATATATAGATGTGCTTTTTCAGGATGCACAGCTTTCATGATTTCTTTGAAGAAGAAGAAGAAGAAACTTTTGCAATATCCCCTAATTTTCATATACAATTATTAATTAGGTCTTTGGAAAAAAAGTTTTTGTAGGATGGCATTTCAGACGCGCCGTATAATTGTGTATTTGCAGTTGATGAAATCTGAATAATAACATGTCCTAATGAAGAAATTAGTTAAAAAAATTATTTTCATTTTGAAATTCTGCTTATGTCGAACAATATATTATTGAAATAGGGATTTGAAACAATGAGTGGAGAAATATCTAGCTCCATTTCACACATAATAGTTGAACATATTGAGGCAAAAGACTTTTTTTTTTTTTAAATTGGACAATAAGTTGATAAGAAATAAAAGGATAAATAATATATAAAATAAAAATATTTAATTAAAAAATAATTTATTACAACTAAAACTTTATAACTTACTGGAAGCATTTTAGAAGCTTAGGAACTTAGAAATACCTGTATAAAATATATACAAAATGTTGAACTTCTTATATAACATAAATCAAAATAATATCACAATTGCTTTCGGCATGGAACTCATAAGTCTCTTTCTTCTTATTTACACTGTTTCCTGTCTCATGCCTCATCTCCATCTGTCCAAATACTTGACACATCTGTCCCGGAACTCAAAATTTAGACAAAAAAATTAGCCTGAAATGAAACGAAAATTTCAAAATAAAATAAAGGAAAATAAACAATAAAATCAAAACAAATAACATAAATAACTAAATATCCCGAAGTTGTATGATCAAAATATAAGAGGAAAGGTTGGTATGCAAGGTTGCCAGTTTTTCGATTTAATTTGCAACTATTTTGAAAAATATTCTCAAGAGGAACAATAAATGCAAGTAGATAGCAATGAAATGAAGCTGAAAATCATCGAAAAAAACTGCTAACCCTGTCTACCTATGCAAAGGGAAAATCATACAAAAAAATGTGAAATTGTAGATTGTAAAAAATGACAGGAAATGTAAAGAAAGAGGCTTACAAATCCACTGCCTACTTAAGGTGAATTTTCGATTTTATGTTTAAATATCGAATTATTTGAAAAAAAAATGTAGGTTGCTATATATACGATATAAAAAAATGGGTGTCGACATTTGGCACTTTTGGAAATGATCTATTTCAACAGCATAGGTACCCAATTTTTTGAAGTTTTTGATTCAAGTAGCTATTGTATTAGTTGAAAAACTCGAAATCATCTCAACAATTATAATATAGCATTTCTGATTACAATTCATTGTTCCTGCCTCTTTGAATGAGCACACTGTATTTACTACCTATAAATCGAAAAATTCTAAGATATATTATTAGGTATTCCCGAATGAATATTTATTTCTACTATATCTGTTTCCATCTACTTAGTCACTATCCACTACCGTTGAGTCAAAATCAAATAATTTCCGGACTTTATTGGAAGAAGCTACTTAAAGAGGAATTAATTTATGATTTATAGTAGGCCGGGCCCATACGAGCTAAAACCATCAAAACTGTTTACGATGGAATACCATTTAAACACCTGCAGAGCCATCAAATTGTTAGCGAGACAATCGTAGCCAAGTTGAGCGGTTACCGCCGTATCTACACTGATCAACATTCAAAGTGTTACCACAATTATTGATATAGTATTTTGTCAAGAATATTCTGCGATTGTTACGACCACATCTTGTCTAATAGTTTCGTGAATGACATGTTTATCAAAGCTATCGAGCCGTAGGCGAGAAGTTTCGGAACTGAGCCACGAGTTGAATTCATATATGATTATTTCATGATGGCATCAGACTATGAATGGTAGTATAGAAATTCATGCCGTCAAACTTGAATTTTAAATACAATAATTATATACATTATAAATGTCAAAAAGTTCATTGCTGATGAATGTGGTTGGTTGGTCAAGTCACGTGTCGGTTAATTTGGTCTCTGTACCCACTCCCCGTCCGGGAAGTACGTTTTTTTTATCGCTTGGAGCGCACGAAAGGAAATCCCTATAATGTTCAAAGAACATCGTGAGTTCCTAGGGAGGATAGAAACAGGAGGTGGATATTGGATTTTTTTTTGAACTTCGTTGTTGTCATAAGTAATATCACGATTAGCTTCATTGTTCACAAATAATTGACGACTGACAGCTATATGACATGAAGACAGTTGACATTTGAATTTTTGATAGTTTGCATGGTCATTGGTCGCAATAATCATCAAAGGACGAGTCTTTCAAATATTATCGATAATTAAAATATAATGAAAACTCTCCAAGTTGTCTCTTCAACTTTTAATTCCAAATTCAAGAAGGGGGGCATGTTTCGGACCCAAAAGGTATTTATCATCAGCCAGAATGAAATTATTCTACAGAGAACAACGAAACACTAAGTAGGTATATGAAGTAAAACAAATTGGCACTCACGTGGAGAAGAAAAAGCAAAAACATGGTTATAATTAGCATGGTGAAACTGTTATTAGAACATGTTTATAGTTTAGAATGAAATTTAAAATGAAGTAAACATGTATTCAAATTGGGGCCCTGATGGAATCAATCGATTTTTTTTGTTGATTCCCCTCCAATAGTTGTCTCTGTTCATGGCATGATGTAAACAAAAAAAGTAATAGAAACAAATCAAGTTCAGTAGGCAGAGCAATCACAAACGAACAGGACTGTCAAGTCAAAATCCACAACCGACAGCCAACGTCAAAAACCTCAGCTGTCAGCCGTGAAGCTTGACAAGAAAAAGAGTTCTATGATAACCATGACTGATTATCGATAATCATATCAATTGTTCACAACTTTTTTATTTGTCAAAAATATGAAGTGTACGTACGCAACACGTCCGAAAGCAGAGTTTTCCGGACTTGTTAAGTATACATTTCTATCTTCGAATATTTTGTGTGGTTTTAAGATGGATCATAGAGATGGATCAATATGAATTTGGATATTTGCAGAAATAATGTCATGTTCCTTCAAGGATCAATTCCATTTCATTGACAAACTTCTTTGTTTACGTCACAACCTCCCGAATACCTGCATTCCACCCTACTCTGTTCTCAATTGAAAATTAAACAAAGGTGAAGGAATTCCTCGAATAAACAGCAACCTTGAGAATGGCTGTAGCCAACGTAACGAAAAATGTGAAACTGAAATACCCTGTGTTTCGTGAATCCGTGTCAAACAAAGCAGCTGTTTATATTATCTGTAATGATAAGTAATCTCAGGTAGAAAAATGTAAAAGGGACTTTTGGGCATGTTAACAGTGAATTTCTGTGAAGCAACACCTGGCCCAAGGAGATTAAAGACTACAATGAACAATGAGATGAAGGCGATCGGCAAATGATATTTGAGTACCACTGTTCCATTTTTCAAAGCAGAATGCGATGGTTGACGGTATTGGTTATATTTTTCTTGTGGGTTATGTGTAAAATAAAGAACATCATTGTTGTCTTGGCAAAAAGAGGTTCGAAAACAAAATATGTAGGTTGGGGTCTATTTTTTGCTACAGATAATGTTATTTGTGAAATAATTTGTAACATAAAAAAAATATAGTTCATATTACATTCTAGGTATATTTTTATACATCCCAAAATATATACAAAATAAGAATATTATTATATTCTTTGTGTAGATACGTTATACAAGATTTGAAAAAATTCTATTGAATCAAATTCATCCTTGTTTTTCTCGTCTGTCCAGTCGGTATGTAAACTCGTGCGTCGTGCATTTCCTTTGTTAAATACTTCTGATTCTGAGTTGTTAGATATGTGGGAAGTGGGGGATTGGCTGAGAAATTTAGGAGTGATAATTATATTTGTGGAGTTATTTCATTTTCAACCAATAAGTACTTTGAATGAGCGGTATATTTTATTTTTTTTGTCGATCATTGAACTCGCTTTTTCTGAATTACAATTTTCTCAATTTCTCTCCATCCACACAGTTTAGTTTTACTTTGACTTCATGACAGCTTTCATATTTTTGTTGCAGCAGTTTATCGTTACCTACACGATAGGTAAATAGGTCAGATTGATCATCAAATAATTATATTAAATGAATAAAGATAATATAATATGATTTATTGTCATTGAAACCTCTTTATTGAGATGAATAATAGGCTGTCCCTCATTCAATTATGAAAGTTATTCAATTTTTAATAACCGTAATTCGATTTTTTCAGTGTTCATTTGCATACTTTGCATAAAACGATCAGGTCCTGATGAACTTGACTGGATTTTGCATGCATATTATATTCAGCATTGTTTATGACTGGCAATAGGAATGGTTGCCAACAAAACACGTTAATTTCAAGTGATATCACGGTGTGATCAAAGTTTTCCTGAAGCCATCCAGGAAAACCAGCAGTTTTCTGCCAGAGAAAAAACAAAAGTTACTATTATCCCACGTGAAAAAAGTGAGTGCTTTTCACCCGGACCTATAAACACTGTTGATGGCGTTTATTGTATGCTATATAGTTCCGAGAAATAAGCCAATAACACCGCCTTTGAGAAAGAATTGCAAGTCATCTTCCATTCAACTTCGCGGTTACTTAAATTACCAAACAACCACTATAAGTTCGCCATTTCTTTAAATCAAATCACTGAATTAGACTGACAGATATTTGGGACACAACACAACCTCGAGCCTACTTTTTTTTTTCCTTGTTTGATAAATTAGTATATTATTCAACGAGCGCATAATGATGGCTATTACCCACGAAGATGAAAGTTGCAGTACGAGCCGAAGGCGAATGCTGTAATCATCTGAGTGGGCCATAGTCATTATATGCGATTAGAATGCTATACTCTATCTATACAACTATTCAAATATCAAAGCAACTCTAAGAGTTCAGAAATCTATCTTCGGAAATAATGAAGGTTATTATATTGGAAAGTCACTAAATCTAATTTGAAACACTCATTAATTTCATCAAAAACTTTATTAACAAGAAAAAAGTCGTGCCATCACATATCAGTCAATCTTTATATGCCATTTCACTTTTCAGTTGATGTAAAATGAATCATACTATTGCAGATTATTCATCAGCTTGCTTCCGCTGTAGCATTTCCCCACCGCGATTATTAATTGTAGTACCCTGTCTCTAGCCGCTAGTTATCAACAATGAAGTTCCATGTTTCTGATTGGTCAGTACTAATCAATTCGAATAGCCCGCACAGAAACTCGGGTTCTTGTTCCGTGCGAAAAGCTACTTTACACCTCAACAGCTTCTCATGATCTACAAAGCGCAGATACGGCCTGTTCTAGAATACTGTTCCCACATAAATATGGGGTTCAGCACCAAAAACATACGCTGATGCTCTTAGATTCCATCCAGAGAAGAGCCATTCGCCAAGTGGGTGACGCCACACTCACTCACTCTTTGACATCATTGGAACACCGTACAAAGGTCGGCGACCTTTCACTTTTCTATCGACACTTCCACGGGAAATGTTCTTCGGAAATATCTGCTATCATCCCTTCACTAGCATACCAGTCAGACGAACTAGACAAGCCCAGTCAGCACATCCTTTCATTGTCAACCTCGAAAGATGTCGAACAGCACTTTATCAAAACTCCTTCATCCATAGAACGGCTAGGCTCTGGAATTCAATGCCTGAGGAAGTATTCCCAACAACATATAATCTCCAGAAGTTCAAAATGAATTCCAATACCT